TGTTCTTATTATAGTTGTCGACCAAAATTACTTGTCATACGATATAGTTATTCGATAGTATTAACTAATATTACTATAACAAATTCTCCGTTATGGACAGTAACTGTTGTTGAAAGTGATAATGTTCTTTTTGATAATATTACAATAATTGGTGATCGTCGTTGGCCGAATAATGATGGAATCGATTTAATTAATTCTCGTAATATTATTATACGAAATTCAAACATATCAACCGGTGATGATTGTATTGCTATTATATCACATGGTTCGTCATCTATGTACAATATTACTGTTGAAAATATGGATTTACAAAGTACTTCAGCTGCTATTAAAGTAAGCGCTTTTGAAGCAAATTCTACTGGTGACATGTATAATATGATATTTCGCAATATACGTATAACAGATACAAATCGTGGTTTATGTGTCGCACCACGTTGGGGATCAAATACAATATCAAATCTTTTATTTGAACAAATATATATAGAAACACGATTTTTTGGTTTGGATTGGTGGGGTACAGGTGAACCAATCTATGTAACAGGTCTTTCAATGAGTGCTGATCGCCAATGGACTGGAATATTAAAAAATGTTACTTTTCACAATATAATTGCTCAAGGTGAACAAGGTATAATAGTCCGAGGAAATACAAGTATATTACAAAATATTTATTTTGAAAATGTTTCACTTATAATTAATAGATGGAGTAATGTCACGGAACATCCATCACATGATTATCGTCCATCGCAAGAACCACAAATGAGTTGGGCAAAAGTGGATGGAATTTTTGCTCTAGATATTAATGAATTTTATTTACAAGATATAAATATTGAATTTAAAGAACCTAAACAATATTATTATGGACAATGTTTAAATTTCAGTAATATTACACAAATGGTAAAAGTTAATGTTCAATGTAGGAATTTTGCGAAATTATCATCGAGTCAAGAAAAATAACATTGAGAAATTTTGTCGAATTGAAATGATATTTTTCATTTCAATAGAAAACATATTTCCTCTCTGTACATTTGTTTTTTTTATATACTTCTAGATGCAAAATTGTCGAGACATTGTTTTCTTTTTTTGTTGGAAAAACTAAAATGTGTAGATCAAACCATAGAACAAAAAACGCTGAAAAATTCTTTCGCAGCCAAGATAAAAATATTTCTTTGACTTCTTTTTTTTTACTCAAGTTTCGAGGGTGTGGATGTAGAATGCGGATTGTGAGTATTAGTGAAATGAGATGGCAAATCAGTATGTTGAATTAATTGCTAATGTTTGTTTTTAGTTTTGAAGTGATCTACAACCACTATATCACGATTTTTCACATATGTACCCTATATACTAACTAGAGACAAGATTCGGTAATCTTCATTTAGTGCTTGAAGTTCGACTCAAAACAAAAGAAAAACAATATCAGCGTTGTAAGAAGTTCTTATATCTTCGGAATGGAAGGCACAAATAAGATCGTCTTTCCTTACATTGAAAGAGAATAATCTTCTCTATCAAATGGTCAAATCATAAATAAAAATCTAATAGAAAATCGTTTTAGAATATTAGTATGACCATCTATAATAAAATGTAACTTGATTGGTCAATTGCTTATTCTAGACTGTAGATTTATTCGAAAAACATCTGCCATACTACTTCATTTTGAAATGCACAAAAAGTAAGCCTGCTTTTTCCAGGAGAACGAGAATCAAATCTCTACAATATTCCATCATAGTACTAAATCAGAAAACAAAAATACATAACATTTGTCTCATTCGTTATTTCTATTCTAGTTTCGTCTATTACGATTGATTTAATCTGAATATATTTTATCAAGTTATCAAGCGTAAAAACTAAAAATCAACGGATATTGTTTTTTATTATTTATTTTGATATTATCACCTTTATTATTATATTAAATTTTAACATTATGAATTTCTGGTTTATAGTGTTCGTTATCACGATATTTTATATATCCATTTACAATGTCAAGACGTTCTCTTAGTTTCCCCAATTCATAGCCAACTAAATTAGTAGCACCTACAACAAATAAAAGGTCCATGTAATGTCAATAGTTATATTGTTTAGTACTGATGCGCATGTCTAAATATGTGCATGTTTAAATATAGAAAGAAAGAAAAACCAAGAAAAGCATGTTTTTCAAGGCTGATTTATGCGTCATCATCAATTAATATATGCCGATGATGCGTATGTTATACTTTCTTCATCAGTATGCCTTAATATTACTTATACTACAAAAACCAAAATTGTGAAATATAATTAATAGTGTTTTTTGTTTGCATCAAAGCAAATAAATTATAGATGATTGTAAAAAGAAAATTTTATTATCTATGATCATTTATTATTCGTATTTTATAAGTTAGAAAATAAAGAAAGTCCAGTAGCATGAGCGGTTATAAATTCAATTGTTTATTTTTTCTCTTCGAGCAATGCAGAAGGCATCACTTTATTTTTGTTTCTATAATTTCTTTACTACTTGTTTTAATTGAATGACACGCATATAAAAAGACATTCTCACATTGAATTCATCGCTTATGAGATTTTAAAACTTTCAAATCAATCGAAATGTTAAATTTAAAGAAAAAAAATATTGTATACAGTTAGATATTGTATCAATAACTGATGAAATCGATTCTCTATATTTGTTTGTTCTGGATCCTAGCTGATGGACATAGTCAATGGCTGTTGTACGTACTCTATACTATGTTTCAATGACTTCCAATTGGTATAAAAATATCACGGAAAAAACACTGGCAAAAATAACTTTACATGGAGTAAATAGCTCTGATATGTCTCTAGGATCGGTATTACCTACTGTGCATCCGTGTCAAAATCATTCAATCTTTTCATCCATCGAACTGTTTTTCAAATGGTTCGATAGTAATTTTTCAACGCTTCAAAATAGTATCAACACGACTATTCTTGAGACATGATTTTATGACTTTTTTGCCTGATATTTAATAGATTTCCGTTAGAAAAATGCCATTCGGATAAAAACTATTATAATACTCTGAATCAGCATCCAAAAACTAAACAGACATAGATGTATATCTCGAAATTCAATCATGTAGTTACTCTGGAAATGCAAAGCAAACCATTCTACGCTGTGATAAACTCTATTGATATACCATCAAAGACAGTATTAAAATAACGTCTTGTTCCAATATATAAACTAATTCCTTATTGCATTTCTGGTAGATTATGTAAAAATGTGAGTGTAGATGCTGATGAAGTGAAGATCTTCAAACTTTTACATCCATCCACAGTAGCGTTGTATACATATATGAGAAGCAATGAAAACAACCATAGAGAGAGAGATAGATACTGGCCGACTTATCTATGCATAAATATTAACAGGCATTATATTTAGATGAGAATGTCTAAAAATTTTTTAATTTTAGTATTCTACAAGGACAACATTTGTTGGCATTTAATATCGTACAAACGCTTGTGCAACTAATTTTGCATGAAAATTTTGAAGCGCATTTTATGTAATAACAGCTATTTTCGCTATCTATCACATAGTATATTATCAAGATATATATATATATATTGCTCATAGGCAAAGCAGCAATTAAAAATAAAGATCCTTCACTTTAATGATTTCATAGTTGTCTTCGTTGTAAGTCGCATACCTTGAAAAAAGAGCAATCATACAAAATATATTTTTTACTAATTGGTAGCGTAGAGAATTTTCGACATATCATGTGTAAGGAACTTTTTAATATTCCACTTTCTGCATTTTTTACAATACTTCTAAAAATAACAATTCCACATGCCAATGGGAAGTCAAGGATTAAAATGATTAATTTTATATACAAGAGACAGAACAACTAATACTTTAATTAAAAATTCAATTTAGCATTTATCATGCGAAAAAATTGTCTTCTTTTATGTGTCTTAATCTAAATAATCTTTTTTCTAAAGGACGTGATAAGATTCCTTTTCCATATAAAATATTTATCGTTGAACAATTTTTCATTCAGAATGAAATTAAATTTTTTTTTTTATTTTGATGATAATGTTAGAACAGCATTTTTATCGATCATTATAAAATACCTTGAATATTTCTTTTTATGGGTGCAGTTATAACGCTCTGTTCTTACATTATAAAACTTAGAAAAAAAACGAAAATCTTTAATATTATATAAAATATCTTGTAATTGTTTATTCTAAGATTTATGTTGCCTTTCGGGAAACTTTCCGGATCAATTTTTTGTATACAGTACTGTTCAAAAATATAAAATCAAGATATTTTTGATTTTTTTCTAAAGTAGCAAGCGTTTAAGTCAAATGGAAAAATTAATTTACATAGCCAATGAAGTTCTCTATCAAATTTATTTCATACTATTGAAAAAAAAATTTGAAGAGAACTGCCTTAAAGGGCACAAAATCTTGAATATAATGAGGGATCGTCGTATTTCTTACCACCTCCTCTTAAAAGTTATGAATATCCCAAAACGCAAAATAAAAATAGGTTTTGTGTGCGGTTTTTCAGAATTTTTCTCACACAGTCCATCTATGAAATTCCAATATGGAATATATTTGATAGAAAAATGTATTGACTATTTAAAAACCTATTTTGATTTGAGTTAAATACTTCGTATTGCAGAAAAAAAAAATACGTTGGTTTTTTATTTTTGAGCGGTAATGTACAGTTCTACACTGTTGTCCGTTTAAAAAAACTGGTGCGTATGAGGTGTTTTTTCAATGACTTTAGAACCAAAAGCCATAGAGATCTGCAGTTTTCATCATTCGCAAAAAGATCATACAGAGGCACGAATGCATGTGAAACAGTTGTCTACGATATTCGATTGTAACATTAGATCAAAAAAAAATAATGTTTTGTTAATCGCAAAAATAAAAATCAACGGTTAATTTTCTTTATGATTTGTTTATTTTGATATTATCATATTTTTATTGTATTAAATTTTAATATTTGTTTCAGAAACAATAACGTTTTATACTATATATTCATCGTTTGTAAGTTTTTAAGATGCATATGTCGTATTTTGATAAGCAGTGAGATGATGATGGTGAGATGAAGCTCTGTAATGATTGCCTGTATTCCCATAATGAATATGACCATATTGTGGTGCATCATATCCGTTATGATGATATGTCACATATCCATTTGCTATTTGATGACGTTCTCTACGTTTTCCATATGCATAAGCAGCTAAACCAGCAGCACCTGCAGCAAGTAAAAGTTCCATGTTATGTCAATAATTACGTTGTTTGATATCTATACATACGTATAAATATATGTATATTTAAAAAATAACATGAAAAAAGATAAATAATAGCGTAACCGCGTAGGTGTAAAAAGAAATTCGTTTTTTTTGTAAGGTAAGTTAGTAATTGTCGTCAATCAAAAAAGTAATGATAATATCTATGTCATATTTTCTTCATTTACATGTCTTAATATTCAGCGTTCTACAAAAATGAAAATTGCGAAATATAATTTATAGTGTTTTTTCTTTGATATCAAAACAAATAAGTTATAGAGGATCGCAAAAAGAATAGTTTAGCGTCTTGTGATTATTTATTATTTATATTTTTTTATGCTCATAAATAAATAAAGCCTAGTAAGATCAGCTCTCGTAGATTTATCGATTGATTTTATCTATAAGAGCAATATACAATGTATCAATTTTCTTTCCTATTTTTCAATTACTTTACCACTTGATTTAGTTAAATGAAACACATATGAAAAATATCCTTAAATAGAATTCATCGTTTATGACGTTATATAACATTCGAAGTAGTCAAAATGTTAAATATGTTTAAATATGCAATTTATTTTGATTCTCTATCATTGAGACGAGAAAATAGTCTCAATTGTTCAATCATTTTTCACTTGAGACTGCTCCCATTCAATAGATCTTCATGAGTAATGAAACTATCTGTTTTGATTTGGTTTTTTTTTGCTCTTTAAGTATAGAATCGTTGAGAACCTATATGATTAAATTTCGAGTTAAAATATTATCTACAGATAGTTTTTATAATCACTAGAAACATTCCGATATTTTAGTCAGAACGAATATAACCTTGCTAAGATTTTCACATTTTTCAAAGAAATGTCCGTTTTACGATATGTTTCAAAAGAACAACGGTTTTTTTTAATAAGCTAATATTTCACTATAGATACCCGTTTGTCCTAACTCAAACTTTGTAATGTTTATGGTGAGAAAAACTAGAGTAAAACACTCATAACTCGACGAGTGAACATGGGAAAATCAAACTACAAAAGATTACTGCACAACTGATTACTACCGATTGAATGGCAATAGTTTCCAGTGAAAAGCAGTTGAATCCTTGGGAACATTTCCTCGAGAGAGAGAAATAGAATGCACATGTCAAGAAGATCTTCAATATATGACGAAAACTTCGACAGATAGCAGTAACATTTGATCTAATGAGTAATTAGTGTTGTTGTTGAAACTCGTTTTAATCCTAAGATTCTTCAGTCTTCAGATCGTTCCGACAAGAAAGTAGAAAGCAAAAAAACTTGCAATCGATCTTTTTTCTGATCATTTATTCTACATCGTGATCTACAGTTTTTTTTATTCATAACTAAAAAACGAATATTAGGAAAATAAAATTTTGCATATTTCATTCAGATACTAAATCTGAACGTACAATATACAAAAAAAAATGAATATAGTTCAATATCTTTGATTAATGCACGAATAAATTACAAAATTAAAATTCACTTTCTTGAGTAGCAGGAAAAAACGAAAAAAAAAAGAACAAGATTTTTGATTTTCTCAAATATAATCACAAATGAATTGTAGTCTATATATATGTAAAGTAATTGTTTACAAGTCAACCGGTCTTTTTCCTAGATATTTTTATGTAAAATAACTCCCACTTCGTCCATTACCATCATGACAATATTTAAAATATAATATTTCACCGATGATTATTATTGTAATAAATGTTATACCTATACCCATACCCAATTGTGCCGAACGAGTTGGTGGTGATTCACCTAAATAAAAATATTTTATTTATATATATTTCCATTAGAAAAAAAATTAACATCAGACCTCTGTTTATATCTCTCGAACTAATAGTTGTAGTATTTAAACTTGTTGTTGTTGTTTGATTAATTGAATCATATGTAGTTATTATTGTTGTCATAATACCTGTACTAGTATCACTATAGCTCATCGAGGAACCAGTCGTTAGGTTATAAGTAGTTCCCATTGATGTATATTCTAGTGGAGTAGTACTTGTTTCAGAATTCACAACTACTAAATGCCAAAAACTCGAGTCATTTTGAGCAGTGGAATTCAATGCAGCGTTCGAAAACAAGACACCTTGATCAAATGTTATATAAAATTCATCACTGATATTTAATTTAATAGAATCCGGCAAATAAAATATAAGCGTATTAGTAGGATATGTTACATTACTTGTATTTAAAGACACATCGATTTGATAAATTGGCATATTGGTTGTTGCATTATAGAAATGAATAAACGATTGGAATTTAGGTTGATTGACCGCTTGATTAACTAGATAAATAAAAATGAAAAATGAAAAATGAAGCTTATTTTTATGTCTTTAAACAAAGATTTCGACTATCGAAAACAGCTATAAAATGGTGAATTAATGCAGTACTTTTTCATCGTATTTCATTACAATCCGTCAACCCATTTTAGGAACCATGTTCTTTTTTTTTTTATCGATAGCAAATGACTGTCCTCTCCTGTACTATATAAACTGTTCTATGAGATTATGAAAAACATCGATATAATAGTATTGACTTTCACCATTTTATATCGTTTTCTTCGATCTAGAATTTGTTTAATTTTTACTTTCAATAGTGAATTGATTTGTAGTTGATGAAATAGTTGTGTTTGGAATTCGACGAACAATAGTAAAATCACCACGTATAGAAACAATGAAAAAATAGAAAATAACAATGACAAACATATTCATCTTTAAAAAAAAAAAGACGCTGTATTTTTATGTTTTGTAATAAGAAAATTATATAAGGATGAAACAACGAGAGAATAAAAAGAAGGGAAAAAATAGAAAGTATATGATGTTAGTTTTTCTTTTTGTTTGGCTTCATCTTGGAAGATTACACGAGCATTTTACATCTCTCAATATGAGTAGCGAGAAAAATAAAAAAGAAAATGAGGCACCGTCTGTATGACAGAGAAGAAGAAAAAAAAGAAGAAATAAATGAGTTCATAGTGTCGAAGGCGGTTGGTATCTGAACTAGACAGAAAGAAAATTGAAAAAATAAAAAAAAAGAAAAGATAGTAAAAAAAGAAAAAAAACAATTTTCATAAATATCAAATACATGAATTCATGCATAAAAATTATAAAAAAACAAAAGAGAACTTTTCTTCTTAAAATTGAAATTTTTACAATAAGATAAAACATGCTAATTCTTACAAATCATTTTAAATCTACGCAAATAAACTAATGGATTGAAAAACTTATTTTTAGAATTATATGTGTTGAACACAAGTATGTCACGAAGTTAACAAGAATAAGTTTACATTACTTTTCTTAATTAAAGAAAATAACACAACTAACTAACATTGAAAAATATTTATGAAATTAAATGAAAAAACTATAGTCATTAATAATTTTATGATGTCGTTCTGTAAAAAAAAAAATAATAAATATCATCTTTCACTAGTATTAATAGAAAAGGAAAGCTCGAGATAAATATAGACGAAGTATTTTACAAGATATTAGATATGGGTGTGGGTGTGTTATGATTATAAATTAAAAAATTATTGATCGTCGAGACGAAATTTTTCTTTTTTAAATTATTTTTTTCTGGAAATTCTATTTTGTCTGAAGAGTTCATTTTTATTATCAGGAATAGTTTTCCTATTTCTTGTAAAACAGTGTGACAATCCTGGTAATGCTTATATATATAAGATGAGTATTATTTAATAAAGGAATTTTTTAATTTGTGGTCAATAAAACTTTGAAGCAACATGTGTTTTCTTTACCACAAAAAAGTAAGCTTCTCATTTTAAAACTCTAATTAGATTTTTGTTTTTCTTTGAAACATTATTTATTATCGAACATAATAAGATTATTTAAATAACTTTATGTGAGAAACTTGAATATACTAAACTGAATAAACTATTGTTCTATTCTGAGAAATATTCTTTAAATATTTTGATCATTATTAAATTATTTAATAGATTTATGAAGAGTATGAAATATATTCAAAATTATCGCTTTATACAAAATGTAATCCATATTGTTTCGTTTCTAATAATCAAACTTTATATAATAAATTATCTGACATAACATGAACGAATTTTAAGATCAACGATTATTTTTCAAAGAGTTCTTATTAATTCATTCGTCATCATATGTATCATTTCTTTGTCTAATTTTGTTTTATACTAAGGAAAACAATAGAAACTTCAGCGTTTAAGTTCAATTTTTTCCCTTCTCGGACTTACATATTATTCTCATTTTATAATAATTTAAATATATTGAAGCGCGAATATGATTATTTTGTTTTTTTTCGAAATTATTTGTTTTTTGTCGAGCTTTTTTTTTCGTATATGAAAGAAATCATATGTTTACATGTTGGTCAAGCTGGTTGTCAAATAGGTCATGCTTGTTGGGAATTATTTTGTCTTGAACATGGTATTCAACCTGATGGAACATTATCATTAAATGATACTGATCAATCAATATTAACATTTTTTGAAGATATTGGACATAAATATACACCACGTATGCTTTATATTGATTTAGAAACAACAGTTCTTGATGAAGTACGTACTGGTACATATAGACAATTATTTCATCCTGATAGAATTATATCTGGTAAAGAAGATGCTGCATCAAATTATGCTCGAGGTTATTTTACTATTGGAAATGAACTTATTAATCATGTACTTGATCAAATACGTCGTTTAACTAATCAATGTCATTCATTACAAGGATTTATTATTTTTCATAGTTTTGGTGGTGGTATATATATATTCAGATATCTCTTATTTCTTTTAAAATGATATAAATTTATATTGAATATATGTATATATATTAGGTACTGGTTCTGGTTTTACATCTCTTCTTATGGAACATTTAAATATTGATTATAATAAAAAAACACATTTTGAATTTGCTGTTTTTCCATCACCTAAATTATCAACAATTATTACTGAACCATATAATACAGTATTAAATACTCATATTGGTTTAGAATATGCTGATTGTGTATTTATTGTTGATAATGAAGCTTTATGGGATATTTGTACAAATTTACTTGATATAAAAAAAGCTAATTTTGTTAATATTAATCGTCTTATATCTCAAGTTATATCAAATATAACAGCTGGAAATCGTTTTAAAAATGAAAATACAACAAATTTTATTGAATTTCAAACAAATCTTATACCATTTCCACGTATTCATTTTCCTTTAGTTAGTTATGCACCTATATATTCAATTGAAAAAGTTTATCATGAACAAAATGATATACAAACATTAACACAAGATTTATTTCATCGAAATAATCAAATGATTAAAGTTGAACCATCAAAAGGAAAATATATGTCTATTGCAATTCTATATCGAGGTTCCGTATCACCAATAGATGTTAATTATACAATTAATAAATTAAAAAATGATAGAAAAATTTCATTTGTTGATTGGTGAGTTATTATACTTTTTAGAAATATAGAATTTAATTAATTATAATACTCTATGAGTACCACATTAGATAGGGTGAGAATTTTTAGTAATGGCAACTCGAAAGCTAAGCGAAACTTATGAAAATTAGATTCCAATAATCAGAAAACTCCATTAATAATTTATATCAGTCTGTTTTGACTTTTGAAAAATCAATTAGTTTTTGATACAATAACAAAAATGTCATAAATAGGAATTTCTATTCTAAGATTTAAATCATCAGAACTTCAGTTCGGAATTAGCATAAAAATCTGAATGATTTAATATTTTGAGAATGAATTTTGTTCTAAGAAAGACTTCAATGAGACATTTAAAAAGTTTTTTTATAAAGGTAACAGAAAAAAAATTTTCATGTTTTACTACAGGATGTTTACATTTATTTGCATCACATTTAATGCAATAATAATAAAACGTCTTTTTTTAGAAAACATTCAAAACCTCTAGAGGCAGAAGTATTTTTAATTTTTCATCAATCAATAAGAATATTTGCTACTCTTACTTACTTTAGTGCTCTATTTACCAATGAGATGATATTTAGTGATATTATTGATTAGAAGATTTTAATTGCTTTCCACAAACATTCATTAGACAGACTCTTGAACAAGTTTCATGATTAATGAATGATCGGAAATTTTTTTAAACAGCATATTTGTCCACTATCGATATTGTTAGAAAATATTTCTGACGTTTGTACTATTCTCGAATATGAACTTAGAAATTTTGTCCGATAGTAGTGAAATAATTTTTGAAGAATTCAAAAAAACAAAATTAGTTTGAATGAAAAAGATTATATATTTTCATTATTATGATTCGAAATTTGTTGTGGAAATCTTTATTTATATATCAACTGGTAGATCAGAAACTATCTTACAAAATGTACAATTTTTAATATGTTTAAATGAGGACTAGTCACGACGTATAGTTTTTAGTTTGTCTACTAAGTTTCAGAGCACCTAGAGTCGATAATAAATTGTTTTCATATTACTAATATATCTACAATTAATTTATTCTATTTGACATGAACAGTAAGAAGTATTCAAGAATGACTCTATGATATTTTCTATAAATTTTATTAATATTTTAATTATAGGTGTCCGAGTGGATTCAAAATTGGTTATAGTAGAGTATATTTTTTATAAATTATTTGATCTTCTTATATTCTATTATATAGCTACAAGTCCACCAATATATGTTCCTGGTGGTGATCTTGCACCAGTTAAATATTCTGCTGTTAGTTTAGCAAATTCAACAGCTTTAATTGATGCATGGTCTCGAATAAATTATAAATTTGATCTTATGTATTCAAAACGAGCTTTCGTTCATTGGTATATTAGTGAAGGAATGGAAGAAAATGAATTTAATGAAGCTCGAGAAAATTTAGCTGCTCTTGAAAAAGGTTCATATTATACAGAAAAAAAAAATAAATAAATATTCTATGACTTCTTTTTTTTTGTTTTTTTTTTAATAATTAAGATTATATTGAAGCAGGACATGATTCAATACAATTTGATTCAATTCGATCTAGTCAAGAAGAATAAATATAACATGTGATTCTATGAATGTCGAACGAGAAATTTTTTTTTTTTTCATATCCTATTTCGTTGAAATACAATATTCAACTTTGATAATAATTACGTACGATCAAAATCCTTTGCTTTTTATGTATGAAGAAAGAGAGAAAGAAGAAAAAAAAACAACAAAGATTCTTTTTTTTTGTCATGTCGCAAATGAGAAAAAATCTAACAAACAATTCATATATATATATATGATTCATCTGAGACAATACAATAGAGATAGATAACACAAAAGGCAAACATTTGTATTAGATAGAACTTAGTTTATTTATAGACTAAGTTTTGTTTTTCCTGATCTATCATCAAAATGTCTCGTCCCGGTCGTTTTAAAATGGTTTTATTAGGTGAATCAGCTGTTGGAAAATCTTCTTTAGCACTTCAATTAGCAAAAGGACTATTTCAAGAAAATGCTGAAAGTACTATTGGTGCTGCTTTTTTTACACATACACTTAAAATTGATCCACATACATCACTTCATGTTGAATTATGGGATACAGCTGGTCAAGAACGGTAAATTTGTTTTTATTATGAATATAAAGAACAAAAAAAAACAAAAAAATTTTATTTTCTAGATATCATTCACTTGCACCAATGTATTATCGTGGTGCACAAGCAGCTCTTATTGTCTATGATATAACAAATTATAATTCTTTTCTTCAAGCAAAAAAATGGGTAAGAGAATTACGTCAAGTCAAAGGAACTGAAATAATCATTGGTTTAGCAGGAAATAAATCTGATTTAACAATAGAAAATAAACGTCAAGTTGATATACGTGAAGGAGCTGAATATGCTGATGAAAATGGACTTATATTTATGGAAACATCAGCTAAACGAGGTGAAAATGTTACAGAAATATTTATGAATGTTGCTAGACAAGTTGCTATAAAACAATCATCTAATACATTATCTAAATCATCTGGAATAATTCCATCACCAAAATCAAATATTTCGTGTTGCAGTAACAATACTAACAGTAAAACATAATAAATTTTATTTTCATCTCGAGTTTTTTTTTTTTTGTTTCTATCAATCTTATTTCTCACACACATATATGTATAAGAAAGTCATTTAAAATATAATTACCTATTCTTAACATTATTGAACTCTTATATCAATATATATATATATGAATAATTATTCATCACCATTATAAAACTATGTATAATATATATACTTAATCTATGTTTAAAATGAAATCAAGTGGATGAATGAAGAGAACACTTCTCACACACACATAGTGAGATGTATCATCAAGAGATGCATGTGTGTCTACTGAAAAATGACTTATCCTTATTTTAATCTCTGTTGGATTTCACCCACTGGCAAAAAACTAATGGAATTGTGAAGATATACTATTTCGTGTGTTAATTGGCCTATAGCCGCTTTATCTTATGATGTTGCTTCTTTTTTTTTTTTTGTTAAATCGATCAACTAAGGTGATGACGAACTATAAAACATGAATGTGCGAACGATCAAGTCTGATGAGATTAACCATCACCTTTATTGTTCTTTCATCCTCATATGTATATGTTTTCAATCGATTGACACATTGCTTCATATTGAGTCCATCTGTTATCTCCCTTGTGTGTCGACGAAAGAAGAAGAAGAAAAAAAAAATTTCACATGGAAATTATCATCATAATTAGAAATGTTTTCTTGTTTACATTTATGAAAAAGAAATACGATAGAAAATATCGAATATAAATGTTTTATTGGATTTTTTTTGTATTTACAAAAAAAAAAAACTACTTTCGGCAATAGAAATATACAATTCATGTCATGCATTGACACATTTTGTTATTTTTTTTTGTTCGCTTGTTAATGTTTGATGAAAAAAAAAGATTGACATGAAATGAATGATGAACAGTAACCCGCTGGCGACAATTATACTCGTCGATCAAAAGACACGAGTAAGATGACATCTTTTAAGACGAAAAAGCAAACAAAAAAAAGATGTACCGCTCAAGTTGAACATTAACAAAACTACTTGAAATGTTTAATTGAAAATGAAAAGATTCGAACATCTAATTATTTCTGGTCAGGCGAAAAAAAAAATGGAAAAAAAATTTAATTAGAATTTTACAAATGTTGGTCAAACTCGTGACTTCAATGGATGTGAGAGAGGTTCATCATGGAGCATTAAGCTCACTTAATAAATAAGATTATCGATATGTATTTAAAATATGTTTCTATCTAAATAGCTTCTCTAGCGAAATTTTAACATTATATTGATGATTTTTTTGCTCACGAATTCTTGAGATCTTGGAACATATCTCTCGAAGTTTATGGCAATTAAAATAAGCATAAAGACACCAAAAATATAGAAAGTTATTGGTTGATGGCATAATATGTATTTGATTGGTTGAGTTGATATTATGTGTTGATGATGTAAAGAATGTCTCGCCTTGATTACGTGGAAATTGAACGAAAGAGAGCGAGAGAGAAAGAGAAAAATAAGAGAGAATGGTTGACCTATATATATATAAGATTGTTGACTACGTAATATTATGTTCATTCTGACATAACTCACACTTGATCTATTAACCACAAAAGAAAAACAGAAGAAGGTGCTTATATAACATCAATAATAATGTCATTTATGATCGACAATATTCTTGGTTCATCATTGACATCAACAAATACAAATCGAAGACTACCACTTCAATCATTAACAAATACTCATATAAATGTTTCATTCAATAGTAAACAAAAAGAACGTCGTATGTGGAAATGTGAAATATGTGAAAAATCATTTGATCGTCCATCATTATTAACACGACATATTCGTACTCATACAGGTAAAATAAAAATAATATAAAAGTTTTAAATGAATGAAAATAATTTTTTTATTTAGGTGAAAAACCACATGAATGTGATATATGTTCAAAAGCATTTTCAACATCATCATCATTAAATACTCATCGTCGTATTCATTCAGGTGAAAAACCACATATTTGTGATATATGTAATAAATGTTTTACTGCATCATCAAATCTTTATTATCATAAATTAACTCATAGCAAAGTAAGAAAACTTCAATAAAATATAACATATTTCTATTTTTTATTTTTTTTTGTAAATAGGATAAACCTCATAAATGTTTACAATGTTCAAAAAGTTTTGCAACACCAGGTGATCTTCGTTGTCATTCACATGTACATAATGGTACATGGCCATATCGTTGTCCAATATGTACAAGAGGATTTTCAAAACAAACAAATCTTAAAAATCATTTACTTATTCATACTGGTCAAAAACCATTTCAATGTCAATATTGTTTAAAAAATTTTTCATTATCATGTAATCTTCGTTCACATATTCGTACACATCATAATGATTTACCATTAGATTTTTCATTATCATCATTTTCAGAAAATCATTCTTCGTTATCAATTGTTGATGATGATCAAAATCAAAATTCTATAATTGATGTTGAAAATCATGATTAAACGTTTTGTGCTTGTTCATTTATATATAACGCACAATGAACAGTGTTGTTTTTGTATATATATATTATGTATAAATAAATTTGTGTTTTCGATTACAATCAAAAAAAAAAAAGCAGATTTGATTCCGGAAGTTTATCTAACATGATGAACGAGACAGATGATTTCAATCAAGATCAAATTTCTTGTTGTTCTCAAAGGAAGGAAGGAACTTCTTTTAGTCATTGAATTCATCAAATTCATTTTTAATGACTTTTTTTTTTCGAAGACAATGTTGAGGATTGTTTTTTTTTTTTCGTTATTTAATTTTTAGTTCTGTTCATATTCAGAAAAGATGAAATAAACCGAAACTACATAGGACAAATAATTAGACATGTCAATATCTACACATATATAAAAACACATATGTTTCTTATAGACTAATTTCTAAAATAAATAAGTTCAAAGATAAACTTACATCGTTTCTTTAATCGCAGTCGTGTGATTTTCTTTTTTTTTTTATTCGTACAATATTCACAATCCTTTGCTAATAGACATATATACATACACATATGTAGTTTATTGTTGCATTCGATCTACTGTGAAAAGATAACATTGAAATGGTGATTACAGTGTTATTTTTGTTCATCTTCTATTTTTATAAGATGTAAGAAGATGATTGTGTTTATCTGAATGAGTATGAGAAAACATGCAAAGAAGACAAAAAAAAAAATTTTTTATTATGAGATAGTATGTTTCAAACAAATACATCATTGATGAACGATGTGTTAGAAAACAAATACATCTCATATTTTCTTAATATAGCTATATAAAGATATGTTAATGATAATCGAATGATGCATGTCATAGAATGTATTTATGAAATAAGATCAATTTTTGATTGTTAATTCTTATTGTATTCTTTATGGAGATGATTTAAAGTGTTATATCCTTTTTCGAATTTATATACTGATAAACATGAATGTAAAATGGATTGAATAATGAACTAATTGTAAATGAAAATCAGCATGATATCGGAAGGAAATGTTACACGTGCAGTTATGTAGTATTAGAATACTAAAGGAAGTAAAAAAAAAAGTAATAGATTGCTACCAGATACAAAGTATGCAAACTTTAATCTTTTAGTCTTATAGTTTGATCACAAATAGAGTAGTTTGAATTCTAATTGAAAAGACTAAACGATCTTCATTTGAAGGAGTTAGAAGGTCAACATTGAGTTTTTTTATGAGAATTGATACGAATCTCCGAACAATGATTCATATTTTCGATTAATTTGAATCCTTGGTTTTGAAATTTCATGATTGCAGCTATTGATTAAAGAAACGATTTATATTGAGATTGTCTCAGATAATGAAGGCTTCCTTGTACTTCAAGATTTCAGCAGACTGAAATACTCTATCTGTATCACAATATAGACATACAAACTTTTATTAAAATGAAGATTAACATATATAAAGGAAAATTTTATCAGATCCATAGATCAAAAATTATAAATGAATCTCGTAAAAATAAAGTCTAAACGAAAGCATTTGAACTAACAGATCTAGCAACAATAAGTACATCAACGTTAATCGTACGTAGTAAATCCAAGTTTGAAAGTGTGAGATGTTGAAACAAAAAAAAATATTTATGAAAATCTTTTTCACTCGATTGATTGATATTTATTTATTTTATCAATAACAGGATGAATGGGGAATTATGTTATACAATAATTGATTCATTTAGTACATCCAAAAAAAAAAAATTTTTTTGCAAACAAATTCAAAACAATTATTTCGGATATTATAATTTTTTTTTAATCTTTCAATTGAAAATAAAAATCTTTAAATATAATCATAATTATATATGTATCAATTTGATCTAACAATACCAAGTACTTCTGGACATAATCGATTGGTCATTTCATACTAAAAAATAATAAAAATAAATATTAAAAAATATTAAAATAAGATTAATGTTTTACCAATGGAGCAATTTCTTCTTTTTTTAATAAATCAAATTCATGACAAAAATAACAAAAATGTTTATAACACATATTAACATGTGGTTCCTATATAATATACAAAAACAAACAGAAAATATAAATATTTTATAATAATTATTAATATTGATTACCGCTTGTAAATCAATTATACGATCAAAATGATGTACATAAACATGAACAAAAACTCGATATAAACGTGAAAGTAATTTTTTACATGTTGAACGAAAATTTTTTGGAAATGGTGTACCAACTTGTATTGGAAATATTGACTCATCATTTATTATTGTTTCAACCCATTCCATAAGTAATGTTATATAATCAGGAGCACTTAATGATGTTGGTTTTTTATATTTAATACCATCACACCATCTAAATATATATGAATAAATCATTTAATAAGAGAAGAACAAACAAAAAAAATAATGTATCTTTCATCAATACCTATATTCATAACGAGGACCACCCGACATAGTTGGACAAGTTTCTCGAGTACAATATTCACTGATAATGCCATAAACAAGATTGATTCGATTAAAAAAATCGACAACTTTATATTAAAAAAGAAAAGAAATGTTCAAGTTAGACTCCATTGTTGTTGATATACAATCATAGATTATATATCAATAGTACAAAATAAATAGAATAAAATCTTTCTGTGATTAGCAATAACAACTATATTGTATATCATATTTTAATTCTACAACGATTGTACTATTTTCTTTTAATCACAAAAGAAAGAATTATCATTAAATTCTTGTTTTAAAAATAAAACAAATATGAGATATTTACCTGAAGATAGTACAATAGAGTTAGATGACTTCCGAAGTCTTAAAAGGTTTTGAACTTACGGTACACGATAAGATATATGAAACATCCGTTCTCTACTTTATTAATTCGTAACTTATTTCTTTATAGTTGAGTTTGTATCACCAAATCTCAAAGAAACATTTTTTTTTATACAACTGCTAGTATGTCTATCATTATGATTTTATAAAAGAAGTGCAATTCGACCAAAAAAACATAGTATTTTTGTTTTAATATATTGAAAAAAAGATGGATTTGATGCAAAAAAGTTTAACAATAAGATATTTTTAAACCTTTTTTTTTTGTAATATCTAAATAGTATTTTTCATAGTCTATAGATTTTTTGTATCTAATGCATTCTATACTAAATTTTCTAAAAACAAATTTAGTATTCCTATGAACTTTTATGATATTCTATATAGGTATATCATTCATTCTTACCATGTACTGCAATCCAATCATCTTCATCTTCATTATCTGGTAATTTAACAATTTCTTTTAAATCCAAACCTGATTTTAATGACGCACTTGCTTGTTTATGCAGTGAATAACGCATTGTACCTTTTAAAAAATAAAAGAAGTAAATATAACATATGAACATAATATTAAGAAATATTATACCCGGCTCAAATTTCTTTTTCGGACGAAAAGTCTATAAATAAAAAAAAAAAGGTAAAAAATTCTAAATTACATAAATTCATACCTTATCTTTTGCAAAGAATGATGCAAACGAAGATGCCATTTTTAAAAAATTTAAATATCGTTTTCAACTAAACAAAAAAGAACATACAACGAATGTATATTGTACATCTCTGGTAAACATACTAATAAGTATAGTGATTTATTTCTATCGTCTATACGACTATCAGTGTCTCGCTTACTTAAATCAACAATACGGCAGTGATGAGAGTGCAAAAGAGGAAAAGAAAATGGACAGTTGCGTATGTGTGTACATACATCTCGACTATCAAACAATCAATCATCAACAAACGAAGCAACGAAAAAAAAAAGATAGCAAAAATCTCGAACAATAAATAGAAATGGACTCTATAGAAATACAAACATACACATATACTTACTAAAAAGTATAATGTTCAATTCAAGATGATGTCAGTATGTACTCTCTCTAGTTGGAATGCCAATGTTCAAGGACGATGAATGATTCATTTGTTCAATGATGCGAGATAACCCTTATATTAAATTGAACGAAGCAGAAGAGGTCGCTTGCAGATGGTTTTCGTATTTGTCAATATATTCAATCTGTATAGAAGAATAAAAAGAAAAAAGTAAAACGTTTTGATACTTCATTAATTTAGACAAATAAATCTGCTCTATGTAAATGTTAGTCAAATGAAACCTATTTCTAATTTTCATTTTATGAGCTTCATGATAAATTGTATGAATGAACTTCGTACAATATACATAGACAACGGTAGAATAAGCAATGACATATACAAAAAAAAACTAATGTTTACTCTCGTTAGAGTGCATACATTTGTATTACTGTTCATAATAGTTTTTTTAATGATGATACGAACATAAGATGAGATGAAATTCTTTAACCTTAATATGACCACTTTTAGAAACTACAAATTATTGTTCATTTGAGATCTCTACAGGCCTCAATTACTACAAAATAAATATAATATTCTAAATTGTTACTAGTTTATTATGAAAATTTTATTTCAAAAAGAAAAGCAGTTCGTTTGAACAAAGTTCAATCAAATGTTGTGAATGTATAATATAACAATGAATAACACTGGTGTTCGAGCGAACCACAGTTAGTCAAGAAGCGTTCACATGTACTTTGTCATGGTCTACTTACATAAAGAATCATTGAACGTAACTAGTAGATACATTATCACCATAATCTATTAGTCTTCATTAGAGCATGTATGCAAGATGAGTGATTTCATTTAGTGTTATATACTTATAACAGTGTGATGAAACTGGCTTAAGTTCGAGCGGATCCTAAGTGATCATTTCAAATTTAATGATTTGAGTTTAAATTCACGAAGTTATGAACAGTTACTTATTAGAATAGTCGTTCTATATAAAACTGTTCGAAGCTTTATGGAATCAAATTTAACTGATGAAGCGATGATTTCTTTAATTGAAATGTTCATTAATAGAACCCAAATTCAATATCAATCTACAGACTAATTTCAGCTTTAATATACATTTTCCCTACAATCTTCTATTGGACGAGTAGAATCTCTAGTTCGAGATTCGTCTAGGTTATATATAGGCAGAATAATCAAATCAATAAAATAAAGAGCTAAAATAAGATAATTTTACACTCTATGTGTAAAAGTGTATATAGATCATCCTTCGTCATTTGAATGCATAGAATTGGGTTTCAAATTTTGCTTTCATGTACTCATGAAATTTTTATCATAGAGTAAGGTGTGGGTTTGAGGTATGAGTGTGGATGTAGGTGAGTGTGGCTAAAAAAGAGTAAGAATCATACACCAACCCACACCCTCAGTTCAACGTTAAAAGAAGAATACATTTCGTTTAGTTGAGGACAAATGTCGGCTAACGTGAAGAAAAACTTAAACCTGTTACATGTTAAGCTTAATTTAGTATATGTTTAACGCTCGATGAGATTCGATTTTACTTCAGTATTCAACGAAATTTCGTTGTAATTCAACTTTAAAGAAAAACTAAGTGTCCTTCAACATTATGCTAGAATTAAATTTGGATTAAATGCTCAAGAAGCTGTAATTTTGATTCAATCATAAACAGAATTTGACTTCAATTCAACGTCGGTATGCACCAGATCGAGTTTTCAACTGATCAACAAGCCTCAGTTAACTGGACCACTCGATGAACTCGGTGATTCAGCTAAGTGAGTGATACGGCGAACCCATTAACCTTCTGCATCCGATGACCCAATGAATTCGGTGACCTATTGTACTTGATGACACATTCAACTCAGTGTCACATTGAACCAGTTGATTCAATTGACTGTTTGATCTAATAAGTTCAGTGACCAAGTGAATTTGTTGCCCCAGTGAGCTTGGTCACCAGGTAATAGAGGTGTATGAAACTCATCAACTTAGTTTAGATCTGTTCATAGAACTGATCTTGTCAATCTCAAAATATAAGTAGAAAATTTAATTCTAAAAGACACAAAAGTACCATGAAGTGCATTGAAATATTTTGAAGTACATTAAAATATTGAAACTTACAGAAAACTATCACACGGTTGTTAAACGTGCTTTGAAGTAAGTAAAGTATCTCGCAGTATGTTAATGTATCTTAAAGTAACTCAAAGTGCCTTGAAGTATCATATTTCCTCCTGGCATAACCCACACCTTGAATTCGATCTAATATTGAAAATAATTTAATATTACTCACATTGGATTAGCTGGAAAAGATATGATTTCGAAAGTTAGATATTATTTTCCTATCGATGGCATAATTTTCTGTTGTTTCGCAATTGGATATCATCGAATATAGGCATAATAATATACAAACTACCTTGTTACATATAAGTCTCCTCAAGTTACTCAAAAAAAAACCAGAGATATCGAAATAAGTGAAATTTATGTTATATATATAAAACTCATCAGAGATCAATTGATATGATTACTAAATATACAATAACAATGTTTCTCATATAAATAAATCTGTAACGAATCTTTTAGTTAAAGATATACTCCAGTATCGTATCGGATTGCAGCGCCATCATGAACACTTTTATGTTCAATGATTAACCAATGAGTATTTCAGATGAGTGAGTCATGTGATAATGACGTTTATTTCGTAGTCAAAAACAAATGTCGTTCTTCGCGTATGATATTATTCGTTCTTTTTTTCTTTTTTTACTGTTTTACCTTTTAAATAATACTGACAATTTTTGTAATTTTCATTTTACATTTTTCAGAGCATAGGAAATATATGAGTCGAATACCTTCGTAAACCGTATTTATTCGAGAATAATACTAAAAGAATTGATCATGTCATCAACTCATCCTCGTGATTTACATGCAGCTGCTGCTGCTGCAACTACAGGTGGTTTGCGTGGTGTTATTGCTGGTAAAAATCTTCTATCATTCCTAAAAAAATAAATAAATTTATATATTTCTTTTTGTTTTTACTAGGTGGTATAACAGGTGCAATTGAAATTTGTATAACATTTCCGACAGAATTTGTTAAAACACAATTACAATTAGATGAAGGATCAAGTAGACGTGGTGAAGTACGGCAATATCATGGTGTTATTGATTGTGTAAAAAAAACAGTACGTTCACGAGGATTTTTTGGTCTTTATCGTGGTCTTAGTGTACTTTTATATGGATCAATACCGAAAAGTGCAGTTAGGTAAAAAAAGAATTAATAAAAATTTCTTAAGAATGAATTCGAATCTCTTTCTTAGATTTGGCGCTTTTGAAGAACTTAAAAAACATTCAGTTGATGAACATGGTCAATTAAATTCAAAAACTCGACTTTTATGTGGTTTAGGTGCCGGTGTAAGTAATCATATTTTTCTAGATATCTTAAATATAAAAGTTTACTTTAAGTTAGCTGAAGCTGTACTTGTTGTTACACCAATGGAAACTGTTAAAGTTAAATTTATTCATGACCAACATTTAGCTAAACCTAATTATCATGGATTTTTTCATGGTGTTCGTGAAATCATACGAACTGAAGGTTTTTCTTTTTGCTTTTGTTCTTAATTTTTATAGATGTTATTCAATTTTGTTATTGAATTAGGTATTGGAGGTACTTATCAAGGTTTAACAGCAACTATGCTTAAACAAGGAACAAATCAAGCTATCCGATTTTTTGTTATGGAAACATTAAAAGAACAATATAGAAAATATACCATGAAAGGACAAAATACATCAATACCTGTAGTTATTACAGGTATATTTGGTTTGATTGCTGGTGCAGCTAGTGTGTTCGGTAATACACCACTTGATGTTGTTAAAACACGTATGCAAAGTCTTGAAGCTGCAAAATATAAAAATACATTTGATTGTGCAATACAAATTATGCGAAATGAAGGACCATTAGCGTAAGCTGATTGTTTAAAATAAATAATAAGTATTTGTTTATATTATCTTATGTAGATTTTATAAGGGCACTATACCAAGACTTGGTCGTGTTTGCGCTGATGTTGCAATTACATTTATGATTTATGACAAATTTATTGAAGCATTTAATCGTGTCTGGCCTAATAAGTAATATTTTTGTTCAGATTTAATGCAGATTTTTTCTCTCTCATTCATATCATTATATTTGTTGTATTCCAGTGTCTTTTTTTATTCCAATATTTACCATTCCGAATGTTTTTTTTTTGTATTAACCTTTTATTTTCCTATTTTTAATTATCAAAGCTATTTGTCTTAATAATAAAAGTCAGTTTTTTTTGTTTAGTATTGTAAGATAGAAAAAGTAAATTATCTATTTGTAGATTATTGAATAAAATTTAAAGACAATATGGAAAATAAACCAACAGATCTTTATCATACAGGTATATATTTCTGCTTTTATATAAATTCATTAGAAAATAATTTCGTCTATCACGAACATCGTTCAAGGTATACTAATCTTCTTTCATGAAAGTCTTAGACGGCTTATCAATGCATGTTAGAACATGTAAATGACATGAAAAAAAATGATTAGGAATAAAACTTGATCTTTCAGGATTTCGAGTATTCGGAAACATGAATTAAACGACGTCTCGTAACAACTGAGAAAAAATTGTCAATGACATTTTCCATACTTCTCTTGACGTACAAAAGTGAAATTTTTATTACATGTATACCGTCAACTTTCTATGACATGTCTGGAAAGTCGAAACTTTCAAAAATCCAACAACTTGATTTGATATAGATAATAATGGTTTCAATCTTATACATGTAGAGAAAGTATGAAAAATATCATTAATCAGTTCATCGAATCGTATCTTAAATCAATATTTATCAAAATAGAAGGCCAAAATAAAAATTTCACCATAGTAATTGTCATCAGTTCATTAAGTTTGAGTTTTCTTTCCATAGAAACTCTGGAAACTTCTACGTAAATATTAAATCAATATTTTTTTAACAGTTGGATACGATCGTGGAGAACAACATGTTGACAAATCGAAAGTTGATTCACGTGAAGAGACTTCAGCGCCACAAGCTGGCATGCATGGTCAACCTGAAAGTCATATTTCTGGTCAAGGTGGTGCAGAAGTCTTAGGTGGTAAGTTTCATATTGAAAAATACATCGATGGTTGTACGAAAACTATCTAGCTTTATTCTCAAATTTCTTTTTTCTTTATTACAGGAACTGCAAGTACACGTATCACTGGCCAATCAGTTGATGAACAACTCACAACTCAATTGCCCACACATAGTAACAAATGAATGATTCTTTTTATTAGCATTTTTTATGATAATCAAGCATCACTTTAACCTGTTGTTCGAAATCTAATGTTTCATTGTAAATCAAGCTGAATAGAAGAAAATATTTTTTCTGTATATATTCAATATATTGCTCTTACATAGTTTTGTTGATGAAAGTAAATCAAAGCAAGATTATAATAAGATATTAATATATCGAAATGATTAATCGTTAAAAATTTTTGTCAAATATAAAATGTAACTTAACAATTTTCTAACGCTTATTATATAATGTACTAATATTTTATGAATACATTTTAAAGTAATAAAACTGGTTTGTATATCTGTATGAGTGTATGAGAAAGATTTTTTTTGAGTATCTAAAGTTTTTAATTGTTTTACTTTTGTTTATTTGTTTTTGATTATATTCACCAATATTTGTGATCAATATTTAATTGAACTAAAATGTTAATTCTAGGTTTTTCAGTGATATATATGAGGACGAGTGTATACTACCATAACTAGCATGCATATTTCTGAATTATCTACGTTTCATTTACCATTATGTGTCGTCATGTACTTGAACACAAGCTAATGCATAATAGTACACACTGTTGAGTGATGGTACATGGGTGAATGTCACAGCTCTCAAAAGGTTGTTGTAGAAAAGCGAAACATCATAGTATAGTATTTATAAAACTGTGACGCGTGACGATATAAAGGATTTTTCAATAGTTCTTCTTATGTTCTATTCATTTCAAAATATATTCATAATCTAGTCTAGAGTTGTAACTAGTAGTATTTTGCCTTATTAATATTGATAGGGATCCAAATGATTAGGTTCGTTGATAGAACAGTATTACAGTCATTCTCTGCTCATCTATCGTTAAAAAGAAAAACTTTACAGAACTAAAAAAATCTATATCAATTTTTATATGAATATAATAATCATTAAACATCAACATTCATGATTAATTATATTGTGAATCTGCTTCTTACTATATATTCCTGGGTAACCGCTCATTTCGTCCCCTTACAAGTCGTCCCAATTACATTTCTTTCCCTTACATTTCGTCTCAACTGAATTTGATTTTATAATTTTACTAGGACCAATCTATTTAGTTATTTGAGAATAGTTACTGTTTATATACTGAGTGTTGCGTATAGTAAATCATCGTGGTTTGAAAACCCAATGAAGAATGAGTGATGGATGTGAATAAGAAGTTCAAAAAGGTCTATTTTCCTTAGACCCATCCTGGCCTGGCTTCCGTGGTCTGTATATTTTTTATATGCTATCCGTTGCATGATATTTCAATATGAATAATACCACGTCTGGATAACAGGCAATGATAAGTGCTCATTTTTATGTTACACCATACACGGCACTCGAGTGTGATTTTTGAAGTACTTTTGCTGTTCAAAAATCAATATTTGTATTGAGAATCATAAAAATTATGACAGACAGGTGGCTTGTCTATCCTAAGCAGTCTGTCTGGCCTGAGATAAGATCGAAACTTATGGCCGGTGTCTGTTCTAGAAAGGCAGTCAGGCAGATCCAACAGCCTGTTTGTATCTCTGGTGTGAGTGTAGCTGTGAGATGTGCATGGTTGCGAGTGTGGTCCTTTTTTTAAGCCGCGCCCAAGAATTGTATTGCCTTATGATGTGAACGATAGTAAAGAATATTTATCTGGAATTGCTATGAATTTGAAAACAGGCACTTGAATTCATTAAAATAAATTTTATATTATATTTCTATAATGATAATGAATGGTGACAATTTGGAATGAAATGCAAAGGGATCACTTGTAAGGGGATGAAGTGTAGGGGTACCTTATTAGATAAGATCTTCTCAATTCAGTGATGAAAATAGAAAATAGTTATCACTGGAAATAATTGTTCGACAAAATTTTATGACCATATCCTAGTTATTTCAGGTTGAAATAAAATTCCAAATGTAGGGTCTGATAGAGTTAAGTATGCTCTACGACGCCCACTTTGTCACAGAATCATGGGAACTACCATCATGCGGATCAATAAGTTTGGTAAATCTCCAGCGTTTTGGAATTCAGCCAAACTTGTAGAGTCCAGATCTCTCGAACGATAAGATAGAAGACTTCGAATTTTGTACAGCAAACACAACTCGTCGAGCTTTTTAAGATGAGATAAATATCAGCTAATTCGGACACATGTATATTTTATGGTTGAGGCTTTATGAAACAACCCAATATTAATTTTATCATCTACATCGGCGGGCCAGGGTCATTTTTTTTGGTATGGCAAAATTATTAAAAAGTGTAAGCAACTTATTTAAAAACTAGAACCTGAAATTTTTTTTCATATACTTCGATTATCATGCTAAGAAGTTTCTACTGTAATCATCCTGTTCCTTTTATATTAATTATTTTCACTCTTACAAAAAAAACAAAAAATGGCATTACAAACTTATCATAAAAAGACTTCCTCAATACAATTAAAATACTATTTTCCTGCTCTTCTTTACTAATACAAATTCTTTTATTATTTCATCATAGTCGATTTCAGCATCATGTTCAATGTTCAGAAGTGTAAGTCCTGATAAACAATCTTCTCTTGTTGTAGATCGAAGATAATTTTTAATTCGTCTCAATATCGAAAAGCTACTTTCGTATAAACAAGTATTTACAGGTATAGTCCATAAAATATTAAACAATTCATTCATCACGGGTAAACAAACATTCAAATGATTTTCCAGAATAGATGATCTAATTTCAGGCAAAGTTGCTTGAGAAGTAGGTAATTTTGCCTTGTATAAACGTTGTTCACCTCAGAGATGAGCGAGCCGCGGTGTAAAACCGCCCCGTTCCGCCTCGCCCCACCCCGCCGGCGGGGCGGTGACGGTGCATGACGAAATTTCGCGGTTTCCCGCCTTTGTATAACCTTGATTTTTTAAATATACTCAGACCTTTAGAGACATCTTTTTAAAATTTTAAAATCTTTTCACAAAACTAATCAGTAAAAAAAGACTTGTTAGCGCAGCTCCAGAGGAGCTAAAATGTGGAACTCACATATATTTTTTTAATTTTTTGTCCTGATGCCTTATTTTTAAATTGTAAAATACCTTTTTTCCGAATACGTATGAAATCATTGATATATTATATAAAAACTAGAGCCTTTTATGCGCTGCTGAGGTCTGTAATTGTGGGGGTCAGGGTTACCAGATCGAAAATTAAAAAATCAGAAAAATTTTTCTAAAAATTGGGAAAGTCGGAATTTTTGTTCTCGAAATCGGAAGAAAATCAGAAAGTATTTTTCCATGCTTAAATAACTAGTCTATATATTTTCGATAGCTTCAATATTCTTTATCTTGCTTCTGTTCATCTTTTCGAAGCAATATCAGAAATGATATTTCATAAAGAATTAAAGAAAATATCGATTACACAATTTACTCATGATTGAGAAATCTACATAAGTAATTTGAACAGGATCACATTATTTTTATCAAAAATGCTATAACCAACTTGACGAAACAATAGAATCAGTATTTTAAATTCATACACACACATGCATTTCACAAAACTTATGCAAAACAAAACTAAGACTTATTCTGTATAATGTTCGTTTTTGTTCATACTTTTTTATTAGCTCGAATACTCTTCAAAATATCAGGCTGAGGTAACAGATATTCATAAAAATGTCCACAAGTATAAACAGAACTCATTCCGATTTTCAATTCTGCAACAGCTAAATTAGTACCCATACGATTATGATTAGTTTTATGATATCTGTGATGAAACAAAAAAAACTCAGAAACGAAAATATTCTTAATTAACACTATAGTAAACGAACAGAGAAAGTTAGTTCATCGTGATAGAAAGCTGGATCTTAATTGTCTGTAAAACATCATAGTTTTATTGGAGGATATGCTTTCAAATCACTGCAGTGTGGTTTGTTGAGTTCATGACGCTTCACTACCCGATAACTATGGTGAAATAGATCGCTATATATGTGTGGTGTCGTGTCATGGTTAAACTATTCTAGAATGTCCTAAGAACTTGAATTCCCAAATAAGACTTCGAAAACCGGAGAAAAATTAGGAAATCTGAAGGCGATCGGAAAAATATGTTAAAATCGGAAAAATCGGAACGTCGGAAAGTCGTTGGAGAAACTTTTAAAAAATCGCAATTTTTCCTGCCGTATCGGAAGATCTGGCAACCCTGAGTGGAGTGTCTGTAATGGAGTGGGGGAAGGGAGAGAGCCGCCAAACCTCGAACTTAAAACCTACAATCACTATTTAATTCGAAAATATACTTGAGTTCCACAAAATGAGTGACTGTATTATAATTGCCTTTCATTTTCATATATTTATTTTTTTCTATTTCGGAACGATGTTTATGCATTTAAAATATGCCTCTTCATCTCATGAAATGAAATAGCCATTATGAGAATTTAATGAAAAATTTGTCAATAAATAGTTTTTTAAAACATATTTTTGACGGGGCGCGGCGGGGGGGTGGCGGTGCGGGACGGGGCGGTGACGGTGCGACTTTTTTGCTGACTCGCTCATCTCTGATATGATGAACAAAATAAACCAATCATATTACAAGATTCATTAGCTATTGAATATAAACTTGATAAATTAGCTGCAAGACCAGAACCAGATGTTAAACAAATTTTTGATGTTATAACAGAAAATCAACAACTTACTGAAAAGATTGAACGAGTTGTTAGACTTTTGTATGAAATTGGTTCGAGATTAAAGAAGCTCCAATGACATAAATAAACACTATTTAGCATCTTATTGATATTTGTTTGAATAGAAATTTACATAAAAATTTTTAAAACATTCGAGACTATGTGAGCCATTGGTAGCTCACGGCAAAAAAACTTGAATATCTTCATTCTATACTAACCAAATGAGCTGACTATTTTGTTGATGATAGAAGAATATTAAAAATTTGTCAACAAACGTCATGCTAGTGTTTTCATTGGCTTCAAAAAATAAAAGTAACACTGTATGAATTTCGAAAAAAATGCAATCAAATTTGTATTCTAAAAGTTACTTCATGTAAGTAAACTTTTATAAATTCAGTAAGTTCACACAAATTGGACTAATATTTGTTTCAAATTCTACATGTAAGGGTGTGAGTATGAGTATCAAATGGTTACGAGTGTAGGTATGGGCATACAGATGATCAACACGCACACTCACACCCTTATTGGTGCTTGATCGTCAATGATTTCTCAATGTTTGACATATGACAACAAATTTCGCTACAATAAGTTCATGGAAGCCATATAACAATCCAATTTTTCTTCTAGTCAACAGCGAAGGAATCTTCTTGCCGCAAATGACTATGATTGATGAGCCATTGACGAGGATTTTTACTTGCTTCATCTGTTAATAAACCTTTAATACAAAAGCTACGAAGATTTTTATCTTTCCATAAAGAAGTCATTCGAAGAACAAGTGAATCGATGACAATTGGTGGATCTTCCAAAAGTAGATCAATATCACGAAGATGAATAAAGTTTCGTGCAATGATGTCCAATTCAAACGAGTCAATATCTTGAATATGGATAATTTCAAGATGTACAATTCGCCTCTGCAATAAATCACACGTAGATGCATCATTGAGCACAGTATTTAGGAAAGTGAAATCAATTTTTAGACGCTTTAGATTAGGTGCGGCTTGAACGAGATGCAATATTTCACATGTTCCATTCACACAGAGACTCTTCAATTGAGGTAAATGCAAAGCGATCGATTGAGTTGATTGACAAGTATCTATAGGTAAACGAAATTAACAACAACTACTTAGAAAAAAAAACAGAAACTGGAATGTAACAACTTCACTTGTCATGAAACAAAGCGAAACGCATACTTTCTATGACATGGAAAATAAAAAAATCGCCTGACAAAATCAATATGAAAAGAAAATGTGATACACGTAGTAAAAGAAAAAGATGTGTTTGTTTTGCTTCTGTCTGTTTAACTTAAACTGAGCATATCTACATATCACACGAACGGAATACTTATAACTACTTTAGACGTATACAGAGTGTACAAAACATAGTAATACAATTAAAAACTCGAATATCTTCACTTTGCTTTTATAGAACAAGACTTTGTCGTGGATCATGATTAACATACATGTTTTCATTTTGGAAGAAAATCGTCTCTGTCTTGATTTAAATTTAAAGCGCGTAGGGTTTTGCTGAAAGTTTTCGTGAATTAGGTTATTTTTTCTTCAATGATATAAGACATCTCACCGTTTTCTTTTGAAAATACGGAGTGGATGAAGCGTCTGTTTTCTTTTCGTGTTCATCTCACACTCACATCCGCAATCATTAAAGTAATTTGGGAAAGCTGTCATCTTCAAGAACAAGATAAAACGACTTGAAAAATAATTTGCAAATAAACGCGAATTTTTACAATTTCTCAGAAATTCCCGCTTTTTTAAAGTTTGCGCGTTTGCTTGAGAGACCTTTATAGCTCAGCAATCCACTGATGTTAGGAAAAATATAGGTTTAAAAACTTTGAGTCAATTGAATATCATCATTTGAAAACATTTTGTTCACATATGCAAAAAATACTAACGTCACTTCACTGAAGTCAATGGTGAGATTTTAAAACGAAATTTTTTATTCACTTATGTTCTTAACAGTGTGCTCTATTATCAAGAAAAATATGGACTGACTAATAAAAGCGGATTAGAAATATTGAGTCTCTTTTGGTATTTCTATTTTTCAGGGCATCCATGTACTATTATTCACTAAATCATTTTCTGGTTCCATGAAGATTGAGAATACAAAGAAAAGACTTGAAAAGTCGATGAGATTTTTGCAACTAAAATATCACTCTGTAAGACATCTGAAACCTCGTTTGAGAACTATACTTTGAACGACGATGAGGATGTAGAAGGAATTTTGAACACAATTTATCGCTGACAAGAAGTCCAATAATATTTTAATAGTTGCAACGGCATACGAATTACAAAACCTGCTTTTTTTCTCTACTTGTACTTCAATAGATGTATAGCAAGTATTTAAAACGCATAAATTCCAGAGCTGATCTTACGATGAACAAGTATCTACTATTCTGATGAAAAGAACAGGCGTTTTCGCTAATTTCATAATCTTTTATCTCAGAAAGTTCTAGTCCATTCAGAACATCCGTTTAATCGAAGAGTTGGTCAAATTTCTCAATCGAATTACCACAAATCTATCTGAAACATTCATTAATATTTACTTATGAAAGAAGACTATTATTACGTGATCATACTCATGAAACACATTCGTTTAATGAGAACGATTTAATAATAAAAAAAGATCAACTAATGATTAACGCCATTTGTGTTTTCATTTATTGCAATCAGATTTTCATAAAATTGCTAAGTACTATCTTCATAGTTTAATACAACTAGATATTAGCTAATATTTTGCACTTCTATTTAATTCTATAAGTTGCCATTATTCAAAATTTATAATATTTTTCGGATAAAGCACTTGACTTCATCGATGGTGGTAAATGCAGCAATTATTAAACATTTGCATGTACTTCATTGACAAAGACTAAAACGGAGTCCGAAAATTTTAGGCAAGAGTCGACATTTTTCTTGTACAGACATATGTAAAAAACGAAAATTTTTCAACATAAGGAGCAGAGGTACCTACTGCTATTTACATGTCTGTTTATGAATTCCTATACGTCATGATCCCTAGCCGATGATAGTAGTTATCTGATAAACTCATCTATTCTTCTGTTTCTAGTGAACACATATTGGCGTTGTTTTCTTTATATATTCTGGGTGAGCCAGTATATTAAATCTATGTTATTCGTATATATATACATTGCTTATAATGGATGAGAATTTAAAAATCTCAATTTTTCATGGAAAAAATTTTTGTTGAAAACAACATACGAGTTTTTGAATTGATATTTGAACCTATGCTGAGCATTCGAAGTCGATGAAAATGCTGCACAATTAGATGTATATCTGTTGAACATTGCTCGCCATATATTCTTAAATATTTAACGTTTCGTGTGTATTCTGAACCAGTCAGCATGAAATTAGCTATTGTTCCTGGAATGACCATTGAAGGTAAGTCGCAAGGAAATGTATGAAGTACTGCATACAAATTGAATTTATTTAACAAACATTTTATTTGAATATGATTTGACCATGTAGCAAGTAAAGTATCTACTTCGATATATAATTCATCGAAATAATACATAATGAATAAATGGATCTCGACAAGTGATGAAGGTAAAACTCGAATGAAATTCTGCCCATTAGCAAGATGTGCATCGTCTGTACATAAATTCAATGCTAACCGTTGCAGAGAAGGCATTTTACTCATGATATGAGCAATTTCGTCCAAGGACCAGTATGTATTCATCGAACGTAACTGAAAATCTTTTAAATGAACAAGAGGCGACACATTCGCTAAAGTTGGTTTTGAATCAAATGATAATAAATCAAAGTCAATATGTAATCGATTTATATGCGGTACGAGTATAAATAGATGTCCTAAAGTTTTATCTGTTGTTAAGTTCACTGTTAACTCTTCAATATTCGGATAAAAGATACCTTTCTTATTTTCCGTTGCAGGCAAAATAAAACTAATTGAATTATGATCGAAAAATACGATTTTCAGTCGATTATTGTTAGCAACTAGAACTTTCTTCAATAATACTTCTGTATTGTCATCTTGAAAATTTCGAATATCAAGTTTAACAAGATGGTAAAGATTCTGGATTTTGTCAAGAAATAAATTTAGTTGATTATCGATGAAAGACACAAGTGATAATGTTTGTAATTGTGGAAACATTAAAGATAATTCTAAATGGAAAAAGGTTGACTGTTGTTCGTTGAACAACATATTTTCCCATAATCCATTCAACACAAATGATCGTATGGACTGACCGATTTGAGGAACGATTCGTGTCGCAACAAAGTTCAACTGTCTATAGGTAACACGCATGAGGTTTACATGATGACAGAAGTCGGTTATTGTCGAATTGAGACGAGAATTCAGATTAAAAAATGAATAAAGAATTTCAGCATTCTGAAGATATTGACATACGAGTAATAATTTCATCTGGTAACATTTCGAAAATTGAAGCTTCTTCCATTCCGAATAACGAATTACTTAGTATGTGTAAATACTAAGAGGCATGTGTTTTTGCTTTATTGAAAAGAGAACATGCATTCAAATCGTTGAATACGATCTGACTCAGAAGAAAAAAAACAACATGTGAAGTGCGCATGTCGAAAGAAAAAACAAAAAAATATATATTCCTTTCTATGTATTTGACGTCAATGCAAGGAAGAAAAATGATTATATTTGCATAGTCAATGTGAAGGTTGTAAGTCTTGATGCATGATTTGGAAGTACGTCTGAGAGTGGATTCAGTGACAGAAAGACTGAGTCCTGGACACACATCTTCCATCTACACCTAGAGTGGGTGTGGATGTGGATCTACTCTTCATCATCCACATTCACACCCACACCCACTCCCTCTTCTATTTATCGCTTCTAATAACCCGCCAGAGAAATCATCACAACTAAATTTAAAAAAATCCTATAAATTATACATTAACTTTATCTCTGTAATCGTAAGATATAAAATGCTCAAATACAAGTGCAGACTAGATCTCGATGTCTAATAAATATGCTGTCCGTATTAGTCTTTCCTACGGGAAAAAACATACGAGAAGAGAATATTACTTGAAGGAGATCAAAACTTATTAGATACCATTTATGTATAATGAGAAATTGATGTTTTGCTTCACTTTTCTTTTGTTCTGTCATATGATTGCAATGAAGGTATATGCGAACATCTTGGTAAACTTTTTCTTCCTTGGAAAGAATACACACATATATAACCAATAGATAACTAACTAATGTGTAAATGAACAGAAATTTTCTTATTTTATAGATAAAGTTTTTTTAAAATGTCTTCAAATCAAATCCAACTATCAAAATTTGAATTAATACGCAATGAAGTTTTACTGGAAATTCTTGAGTATTTTTCATCCTATGATATATTTCAAACATTTTATTATCTCAATAAACGTTATAATGCTTTACTTTTTTCACTTTATCTTCGTATGGGTCTGCTAAATATATCGAAAAAGTCTTTCGATTATTATGATTATTATATATTTTCTCTTGTTGCAAAACATATTATTTCATTTCGTCGTGAAGATAAATTTGTTCGTTTATTATATCAAATTCTTTTATCTTATTTTATTTCAATAAAATATTTGACTATCTATAATATACATATTGAAAGTTGTCAATCTATTGTCTTACAGTTAAATAAATCACGACAACTTATTTATTTAAATCTATAGAATACAATCTGATAAGGGTGTGGGTGTGGGTGTGGATATGGGTGTGAATCTTCCGCCCATTTACACCCACACCCGCAAGAACATATAGTATGAAGCAAAACTACGAATCTTTCGAGCATGTGTAGTATCTATATTGTTACATGAAAGTGAAGTCTGGGCTTTAACTAATATTTAAGAGTAACGATTAAATTCCTATTACATGAAAAGTCGTCGAACAATCATTGGAGCAAATCTCGAAGATCGACTATCGAATACGAAAACATTAAAACTCACTGAACAGCCACAATTAGATATTATCATGAGAAGAAATAGGCTGAAATGTTTTGGTCATGTAAACAGGATGAATAAGGATAACAATAAACCGATGCTGCCGAAAAAACTTATGTTCTCTTATTTTCCAGGTGTCAATCGACCTCAACATCATGGCATTAGAGAAAGATATGAAGACAAGATAAAAGCTGACATCGAACAATCCGATAGTACCAACTGGAGACGAGACACCATGGATAGAAACAAATGGTGCCAGGTCATCAACCGATCCGTACACGTTTATATGCCAAGCTTCAGTATTAAAGAAACAGTTCACGATGACAGACAGCGTGCACTACGAAGGCGTGCTAAAGAAGCAACCCACAAGACCGTAACAACTGAACCAAATCCAACTTCAACGATGGCACCACTAACAACAAAGAAATCGAATGAATATCCCAATTGCAGTCGTATTTCTATATTTTTGATCTTCACCCTACACCGGCAACGGTACGAGAATTTCTTCCTGTCTTCCTGTACATTAAGACATACAATCTTTAATTAAGCATTCACAAGTACAAGTCATAGTATTGTTATTATTGTTGATAAAGCCGATGATCACACTTACTTTGATAATGATAATCGGGCGGGAAAACCAATCATTATAAAGATCATATCTCATGATGATTATTGAAATGGCAAAATTTTAAAGCCACACCCATACCCTTCCTTCAAAGCGATTCTTCCGAAAAACACATATACACCATTGATAAAGATGCATTGATCACGATGATTCAAAACTTTTTGAAGTTTTCGAAAACTTAAAATCAACAGAATAAGACATAGTATAAAGATGTACAGAACGCGATAAACCTTTTCCACAAACTTTTAACTTTCACGTGATCTAATTTCAAGTAAACCTTTTCAAATAAGAATATGGAACATTATCATCAAAATTTTACCAATAAAACAATCTTTCCACTCTACAACTCTTCCTAACGACTTATCTGCAACTGCTTAAGAGGAATCGTTAAAACAGTCATCGTCGAGTCATGAAATCCAAGTCTTCTAAATGCTTGATCTCGCTCATTCCTTGAAAACAAACTCGACGCAACATGCACTTAATTTTGCTCAAGAAAACACACAACTTGATGTCCTAGAAGCATCCGCACCATCAATTCTGTCATCGACCCCGACCGAACACAGATGGGATTTTCATCTACTCAACTTTCCAAAACTTCATGCTGCTAGATCTTTCCAAATCATTATGATACCATAGAACCCATGATGATATTCCTTATTCCCTAGATAAGCCATTGTTTCATATTATAAAGCCATTGATATCTTTCCTCTAGTCCTGACTATCTCTGTAAGCCATTTCCCCGAACATACGAAACACGGTACTTTCAACTTCAAGGTCTTGTCCAATAGTTGTAACCAGTTGTAATACGCTATGCATCTCATCATTCTAAACACCAAATACAGTTGAATGTCTTGCAAAAGTTGGAATCCTTCATTGTCTCCAAGAGTCCGATAGGCTTTATACGGCTGTTTTTGGGAGAATATCGCTTCGCGATGATTATCACTTCGGGATGTCATAAAATTCTTGAATTCTGAGAAAGTACACAATCTGTTTCAATAATCTTCAGACCAAATATTGCTTCATGACTTGAAATACTTGAAATCCTTGCTAGACTCATCGAATTCAATAGCACTTCTCTCGAGACTTCTCAAAGTATCAATTTAAAAGGCTTCACACTTCGTGATCGTGTCTAATCCTTGGCATACCACATAATTTCCTGTCCTCTTCGCTACTCTGCAGAGATAGAACTCGTTCCATGTACATCAACCCACGAAAGTATTGATTTGGTCCTAGAGCAAGGGGGAAAAACTGAATTTTTGATTTACGAGATTGACTTGATTGACAGTGATTATCTACTTTCTTTTATATCGAGAAAACATCAGCCCGAGTTCTTGTTCGACCAATATAATATTTTTATGGCTGAACAACAGGAAAATACTGTGACTCTACATGTAAATTTTGATACAAAACTTGAATACACAAATGACAAAAAACGAAATAAACTGCAGTCATATTTTTAGCGAGGAAAATAAAAGCAGATTAAATCTCTGGTGTCCGCTAAAATTACCTTCCAAAAGTTTATTTAACACCTCGAAAAGACAAGATGAGGTTCGAATATGAAGAACTCGAATGGAAATATATTTTTAGTTGTTAGTCATAACACGTTTAAAACGATCTGAAGACAAAGTAGACTTGTCATTTGAAAGAAGCCAAGCAGCTGTCTGTTTATGTAAAAATTTTTTAGTAGCGTTAATGTTGACGATAAAGTACCACTTAGCCAACGATGGATTAATAGAGTTAAAACTCGCATTTCTTGAAAAGTAGTCGAACTAACATTGCACAGATGATCAGGTAGATAATCCTCGTCATCGCTGCCATCGATTGAATCTTCATTATCGGCGTCATTTTCGGTAGTATCCACTCCTTCACAGCTCCTGTCATCTGAATCTGAGTTAAAGTCTGGATCGTGTTCGTTAAGATGTGAATAATCGACTATTTTTTATTTTTGAAGTTGAACGCTAGCCAATTGTGTCATTTTTTCCAATGATGAAATTTGATGTGGTTGATACATATTCAAGTCACACACAAGATGGCTAGCATAAGAATACGCTTGTAAAATAGTATTCTCAACCGCTTCAACTGTTAGGTCTATAGTAGAAGATGATGATAAAGAAGATATTTGTTTGGAATCGATGGTCTTAGACTATTTATGATGGTGTGGAAATAAAAAGCCCTTATTTGCATCATTGCTGTTGTTGCTACTTGTTTGACATTTAATAGAATTTAGGTATGATAATTTTTTCTCTCGCTGTAAAAACTGATCTATACTGAAGTTTACAATTGAAGAAAATGATCCTGACATAGCTCGGCATGATCGAAATGTACTTTCAAAAGTTTATGAGTTGAATAGAGATACGTTTAAACATGCTGTTGGTAATTTGTGTTGAATAACGAGCAAGACGAGTGTATGACTATTAATCTCGATAGAAAAGACTAATGGTAAAGTAACAAAGTATTGCTGCTTTGTATTTTTCTTTCGTTGTATATGCAAAGAAAATAATTCAGGAAGAGTTGAATCGAGCTCGCTTTTCGTTTTTTTGCTTAACCAAGTGTACCAAACCGAATAATGCAAATAGTTCTCCATGCATAATGAATTCGATCAATAAAGGAGGTTTCCTTATTTATTAAAGCAAATCGAACATTTTGGATTAGCTACAATATAAAAAAGGATATATGAAGTTTTTAAATAGTTGCTATAAAGTTGTAAAAAAGCATACCTTGAGATAAATCTTAGTTGCTTGTGATGCTGGTATAGAAGTGAGTTCATTGAGAACAGTTTCACTTGATATCTTTTCGCAAGATCAGAAATTCTGTTTATCCTTTGACAGAATGTCTGACTTAACCAAATTATGATTCAATTTTGAGGATGATTCGATTAATTGTAGAATACGAGGCGTTGACGGTTTCTCATAAAAAACCAATGCCAAATCTACAAAACGGAAAGAGAAGTAGAATAAAAACCATTGAATCCTTAAATTAATCAAATTACCTCAGGAATATCAATATAAAATGCATTATCACGTAGATGAAATGGTTGATTTGGCATATCAGCAAAAAATCCCATAAAGCGACTTTCACACTCATTTTATCACATTGATTGACAATGCTCATCCATCGCATTAAAATGTCTAGAGACGTGAAATGATTATCTGTACCGTAGGCTGACAAGATGAATGGTGAAGAAGAAGCAAGAGTTAAATTAATAGGTTGAATCATATGGAGATTGAGAAAATACGATTTCTTTGATGTGTAAAACCAGTTTTCGAGTTCAGCAAAAGAGTCAGTCAAAAAAAATATTGATTTGTGGTAAACCATCTTCAAGATGAGACGCGAAGCCAACAAATGTATTCGATTGGACGTTATATATTGTTCGAGGAATTACAGCGGTACAGCCTTCAGATGAGAAAATGAAATTTGTCTTCTGTAATGAAAGATGATCAAAAATAAGATTGTATCTGAATTTGTCTTCTACAAATCGATTTGTGGTAGAATTGAGGGAAACTTCAATGACCGGTAAACATGGAAGTAGACCGAGAATGTTAAGACGAATAAACTCGTAGACATTTTGATCACCGAGAATGAACAGACATGAAGCGAAATCACGTATGGAATCAATGTAAGAATAACGGATCTTGGCATGATCATGATTCGAAATAATCGTTTCGACTACTGTGTATTTAAATTCAGTGGAAGAATCATTCGATAGCAACGAATAGTTTTCAAAGAAAAACGTATAACTTGTCGAAGAAAAGGATGTTGATAGAGAAGAGCGGCAGAAATGATCAAATCATTTGACATGGATAGATTTCTTTGTTGAAGCATCCGTAATTTTTGAATGAAAGAATTGCCTTGGAATAAAAGTCCTTCCTTTGCTATAAAACTGCCATTGACTAAAGTGATTCCCACTTTGTTTTTTATCGAAAGAGAAGATCGAGCGAATCATGATGAAAAAATGCAAATAGATCATGTATACGAAGAAGACAGATAATCCACCGAGTTCACTTCGAGAAAACGTAAGATTTCAACCATTGTTAGACTACATTGTTCTTTTACTACTTGAAAAAAAGCTTCATCTTGAAGCTCGAAGATGTTAGTTTGTAACGGGATA